CACAGTATGAAAGAAAGGCCAAATGAAATGGGCTGTGATTTTTAAGCAGAGGTTAATAATTTGTGCGGCCCTCGGAGGATGTTGAAAAAATTGAAATGGCCCTTGAGAGGAAAAAGGTTCCCCACCCCTGATTTAAGTGTATCTCTCTTATAGCAACCCCACTTCCACTGTACTATAGTAGAAAACCCTCATTGTAAGACATGTGTAAAGTTTATTTTCACACGCCTTTTCTAATATTTACCATTGTATCTGCTTCTTGTGCTTCTCCCAGCTCACTGGTATTATAATGCAGCAGAAAAAGCACTAACCTGCATTATTCATAAGCAGCAGACGTACAACATCAGATCCTCTTAATTGCTCCGTTCTGTCCTATATTTTTATTCTGTCCCTTATTGGCTTTCTTTTTTCCGTCCGTCCTCTCACTCCTCGTTTCCGTCCTTCGGCGGAAATCTCGTCTAACAAAACCCGACAGAAAGTGAAACCCCAGAGGTTGAAACGATTAAATATGAACACTAATGTCTGTAAATGTAGTGCTTCATCTAAATGTAATTCCTGAACTAGGCTGCCCTTATTTAAACCGAGCAGACACAACAGATTAAGTTAAATGCTCGGGGCTCGAAACACTTCCATTTTTGGAGATACGTGTGTTAATTGACACCCGTAATCTGACACCTAACCTCAAAACAAACCACTGAATAAACTCATGGTCCGGCCAGTGCATATCTGACATACAGCATAAATACAGAATACATTCAGAGTAAATCTGCTCATACTGTGCTGTGTTGTCGCATATATACCCAGCGATAAACACTCTTAAAGCACTAGTTATTACTTTGGCTCGCTTTGGATCTGCAGTGCGAGGCTGTTTTTGTTTATCCAACACATTCTGGTCATAGATTACATATTTTAAGTGTATCCACAGATATATCCAGCTTCAGTTTGACACAAATGAATGTGCTTGAATACAGCTAAGATACCCAATCTTTTTGTATATAAATATCCTCATAAATGCCTCGATTGGACTTGTTTACTTCTGGAACAAAGTGACATCACTTGTGCTCTTAAGGGGCCTACTCACCAAACTGACCCCAAAGAACACGTCCCGACGGACCCGACTGTTGTGTCGCCTCACGTCTCCTGCGTCTTGGCCAACAGTCGCACTGGAACACACCGCAAAGACTTCAGCCGACGGCCAAGTAGCACGTACGAACTGCGCATGCGTGAGTGGCAATAACTCTCCTTACCAGCAGGCGGCGGTAGTGTGTATTCATCATTCAAAAGAGGCAACAACCGGAAGACCGACTGCGTGATAACCGAGAGAAGAAGAACAGACTGCGTGATATAAACAGACAACGAATAGCGTGTGCGTTCCATTTTCACTCTACAGCGAGAAGCTCACGGGGCTTTCCCGAACCTGAGTCGAGAGCTGGAGTTCAATGAAACCTCAGATGTGCCTTCTTAATCGTTTGTTTGGGTCCCTCACTTCCGTTTAGCTTCTCATGCACTGATTCGCTAGCTGAACAGCCAATCAGAGGGATTTCTTTGGCCGACGGCCTTTGCCGACAGCCTCCCGATTGAACATGTTAAATCGGCGGCGGAAGGTGTCGGCACGGCCGAAAAGACACGACGGTGCGGGACACACTAATCTGAGTAGGGCGACAGGATGCTCATCGACGGCCAGACATCGATCGACATCTATCGATGGCCTAAATTGGCTTGGTGTGTAAGGACCTTTACAACACATTGTACGTGATAGGCTTAGGGGCGGGACATATCTAAGGAATTAGTGCTGCTAGCTGCTTGCAGTGCTCAAGAGAGAGGGCAACACTGAGCTGTTGTTATATTATTATTTTGTTGGCTTCTCATGATGACCAGTTGTAGTTTCATCCGGGCTTAACCAATTCGCATCCTACCAGTAATGAGCTGTCAGAACTATCCAGTTATAACTCATGCTCCTGAATATGGAATTGTGAATTTCGCACGAAGATGGCCCCGAACCACACACGAAGGCAACATTTACATTACATTTAAGACATACAACTGCAATGAAAGTACCAAAAACAATTATGTTACAGTACTATGATACTGTACTGATATTTTCAGACTTTGTTCTTTACTTTATCCGTCTTTATATGTAGAAAATATTACGTTTTATCCGTAATGTTGTTTCCATAACAACAACTTCCTGTCAACTTCCTGTCAAATTGCCGAAGGACCTTGAGAAGGTTCATTTTCGTGTTGAATTCGTGTGTCAATTTTTCCCTTCGTAAGGCCATCGTGAGGGCATCTTGTTATCATCGGTGCCATCGGGCATTCGCCCCGATCAGAGTGAAGGCGAATGCCCGATGGCACCGATGATAACACGAAGATGACACGACTTGACAAGATGCCCTAACGAGTGCCTTACGAAGTTGCCGCTCACGAAGTTGCTGCCGGAGCCTGAGAAACTCCACCAGCGGTCATACGAAGGCTTAAGATGCCCTCACGAATGGCCCGATGTTGCTACGATCACAGCAGAATTTGAACATTTCCTTTATCGTGTGTCCATCGGGTGTCAATTTCGGGACAGTGTGACAGGGGCTTTACTGGCTAGGCAACTTTGATCAGGGTTTTCTTAGTTTGGAAACGTTTAATATCAATCATACACCTGCTACTTTCTCAAGATTCCCAATTACTGAACCTACTGGCTTGTAAAACAGCTGTTGGGTCACTTGGCGTACCAAACGTTATCTACTGGTTAAATTAAAACCCACGTATCGATACACCTCTGGTAAACTATTAATAATAATTAAGAGATTTTTGCTTTCCTGACTGTGGTTATATCAGTCCATCCATATCTCTCAGACTGCTGCTCTAATATCGTTCATAACAGACCTTCTCCCAGAGACCACGCTGGTTTAGTTTTGGTTGAATGGACGCGTGTGATCTGATGTCTTTTTAATAAATCATGTATGAACATTTTAGGAAAGCTGTTTTTTAGACTGAGCTTCATTGCAGGGTTTTCCATTGGAGGGGTTTTCAGTTTGCTAAAAATGTGTATTTTATTGTTTCCACACTTAAACAATACACAAACGTAACAAATAACAGATGAAGAACGGCGCAGGAAGAGGCAAAAACCCCACTGGGATTATTCTTCCTTTTGTTTTTAGCTTGTCAAGTTTTAATAGCTTCTACTTTTCTTTGTTTTATGTGATTTTAAAGGGACTAAATGGTGCACTTTTTGGCGATAGGGTCCTTGAAAGGCTTTAGAAAACTGTAACGAACATTTTTCTCCATTTTCCTCACGTTCTCTCTGCAGGACCTCAGTGTTATTTTACCTCCATTGATTGTGGGTCATAAATAGGAGTGCTGCTGGTAAAAGCTGAGAGGCTGAATCCCCCCCGAGGTGTGTGTGGGGGGGGGGGAATAAAACACATCAGGTCCCTATCAGCTCGGAGTGGAAGAGATTTAGTGTCGATCAGCAGCTGCAGCACTCTGACTGAAATAGAAACACTTATCAGACACCTCGATCATCTCAGGAGTTTTTTGAAGTTCAAAGTGTTTCCTCAGTGTCCGTTAGTGGAGGCTAATGATACCAACAACAAGGAGAGGCTGAGTACACACGCAGCAACCTGTCGTTTCGATTTAAGAGGGACTTTTTAAGGTTACCTGAAAAACTTTGAGGTTGTGAATTTGAAAACGTTCTGCTTTTGAAAATGATATTAAATTGGTAAGCAGATATTCAAAGTAGTTATTAGAAAGGTCTTAAACATGATGGGATTTGAAAGGTACTTCTGTGTAGCGATCGCGTCTAAATGTGTTTTGGGGGAAATATCCGGGCTGCAAAGTAACCAGTACGGTAAGAGCCTTTCAGTTCCCCCAACAATTTGTATTGAAATAAATCACTAACTTTGCATCCCCCCGGCCCCTTATCGGAGAACACCCAGCTAGTAACCTAGCAACCAAGCTTCAGCGAGAGCACGCTCGTGAACCATTGCGGCGGTGTTATGAATGCCCGCCGAGATATGCATGCACCTCGCAGGAGCGCGCACAGCGTAAAGCCAAAAGCTCCCAGACATGTCAATGATCTGTACGGTTTGGAAACGATATCATTTCCTTTTGGGCGGGCATGCATAACACGGCGAACACCAGAGCCTCGCTGCGGGGAAACTTTTGCGCTGTTCCGAGTTTGTTCTAATCCGTCAAAATGACAGACTGCTTTCAGATTTTTCCGTCATTGTTAAAAAAAAATCGTCATAGACGGAAGATATTTGGTTAACGCGACCTCTGCCTCCGGGCGACGTTTGGGTCTACGTCAACCCAAAAAGCGGAGGTGCTGTGGACGCTAAACACCAATCCTACAACAGCAACGATGAAAGATTGTAGCCAAGGGAACAGAGCTCAGAAGATAGCTCTTGTCACACACACACACACACACACACACACACACACACACACACACACACACACACACACACACACACACACACACACACACACACACACACACACACACACACACACACACACACACACACACACACACACACACACAACACACACAACACAATAACACACACACACACACACATACACACACACACACACACACACACTTTCACGGTTAGGCAGTTCTTTCTTTCTGGTTTTTGTCAAACACAGTTCAGTGTTCATGTTGAACGTGAATACATTTACTTTGCAAGTCATTATGGGACGTATTTCTTCTTTCATAGCAATTTTCCTTCATAGTTTCTTGCCGTGAAATAGTTCTTAAATTATATTCAAAGTGGTCTTAAAAGGTCTTAAATTTGAGTTGGTGAAACCCGCAGGAACCCTGACACACACACATTCAGAAAACCAATGACTTTGACTCAAAGGAGTCATAAGTGCTGAGATGCTGACTCATTTCCAGTTTTAGGAACTTAGCAATGTTAGCTAATAATCAGCGGTCATTACACTGTGTTATTTCTGTATAAGATAAATATGAAGATGATTTAATGTGTGTGTGTGTGTGTGTTCAGGTGAACTCGTGGACGGTGGAGGAGCTGCGGCTGCGTCTGGCCTCTCTGGACCCTCAGATGGAGCAGGAGATCGAGGAGATCAGGCAGCGATATCAGACCAAGAGGCAGCCGATCCTGGACGCCATCGAGGCCAAGAAACGGCGGCAGCAGAACTTCTGAGGAGGAGGAAGAGTCGGAGGTTTCATCTCGTTATTCTCTGCGGCAGATTTAACAAACGACAGCTGAGGATCGTTCAAAATATCTGCTCAAGAGACGTCGAGATGTGTAAAACTGTGCGAAGACTTCTGATGATCGAACTGCTGGAGAAGAACTTCCAAAGAGCTTTTGGACAGGATATTAATGACAATATTTCTGCCTGTTTGGAGTCTTCAAAAACTTTTTCCTGGATGAACGATTTCAGGAAAGACGCTTCTGAAACGTATATTTGGTCTCCCATCCGCTGGACTCTCTCTGTTTGTTACACAGCTGTCTTAAACCACAGTGATGATTGTTCAAATCTCTTTAACCGCGCGGTACAATATCATTTAAACGGCTGGCTGCTCGACTAAGGTACTCGTCTTTACGTCCGCAAATGTCTCTTCTCAGTGTTGCTGCTCAGTGTTCTCACTTTAGACTGTGAAGGTCTAGAGAAGCGTCTTTCCCTCGACTTAAAAGAGTTAAAAATACAAAAGAAAAAGCGGAAAATACCAACTAGTGTTGATGCAGGAAGAGACCCAGTGCTTTGGATCAGTCGCATTGATTAAGTTAAACCCTTAAATCTAATTACAAAAGCACCTTTTCTTAAGTTCAGCGTTGATTACTCGTCACGTTATAGTTCTAAAAAATTCCAGCACAAGATTAAAAGATCAATAAACCATTTATTAAATATTAAAAGCAAAGTGTTATGTTATTGTAAGATGCCGCTCTAATCTTAACTTAAATAACTGGATCATTCACTTAGCTAATGGTCTCTCTCTAAAGGCAATATTTTGGAAACACCTGAACGTTTTGATATTTTGGAGTTCAGATTTTCTTCCGCATTAATATTTGAAGGGTCTTTAATCCCCTCCAGTGTCCTCAGTGTTTGATTTGAGTTTCCTCCCCGTGTCCATCATCTCTTTCCCCGCAGTAAGCTCAAAACAAAGAGCTGGACTGGGATCAACAAAGCTTTTATTCCCAGGATTTATTATTTCTGATTTGGCACTGAAACGACATCGAAAAAATAAAAAGGCAGCTCCTCTTTGGACGCTCTGTTTTCTACACGCAGCACAGAAACATTTCTATTTTTCTACGTAGGTTTAGTGGTTACAGAAGAGCAGGAGGTTGGTTTGATTTAAACAGATTTAAAAACCAGCTTCTCAGGTCAGAAACTCCTCAGGGTGTAAAATAATAGTCTGTTTATAAATGAGCACAACAGCTGTATCTGTAAGGTTTAAATCGATGAGTTAAAGGGTTAAATGACAGAAACTTGACGCCTTTTATTAAGTTATATTTAAACAATAAGCATGTCGGATGTTTTCTGGGGATAAACTCTCAGCTTGAGGTTCAGTTTCGTTCGTGTGCACGGTTTCTCTCATGAGCACAAGTCTTGTTCTCTTCTGCGTTACAAAACAAAAGGGATTTTTCTGTCTGCCTTATTTCGTTTTCGTCTGACACATGGCGTTCCTTTGAATATATGTTAAGGTTTAGGCTCGGCAGGGAAACACAGTTTAATATTCACCTTTGATAAATCCTGTCGTGAGTTCAGGTAAAGCAGCAAAAGAGTGAAAAGGCAAAAACAAAAGGGATTTGTTTTTATTGTTTGGATGTTCTGCTGTTTTGTTTCTGACAGTGATCTGATATGTGAGGATTTTATACGACGGCATGTTGGAGCCATTGGAGGTCAAAATAAATGAATAGAAAAGGAAATAGAGAAGGGGGTTAGTTCTAGTGAAAAATACGAGTTTTTAAGTCAAAATGTGTGAATTTACGAGCTTAAAAATGTAGAAACTTGCAAGAAAAAGTGAAAAAATATATATTTTTCTCATAAATCGTGAGTTTCGTAATCAACCCTCAGTAATTTGTTTCTTGAAATATGATCACCTTCCAGGGGCTCTGTATATTTATTTTTGAACCTACAATGGCCCTAATTATAGATTTCCTTTGGTTAAAATAAAAGCATTGATTGTTATAATATGATGTCTGATGTTTGGTGCTGATCGTGAAATCTGGCATCAGAAATCAAGTCGTTATCACTGGATATGAAAATGTTCTGATGTTTTTGGACATTTCTAAATGCTTCTTTGGCTTTAAGTGATTCTCTTAACTTTTGTTATTAAATACAAACAAACCACTGAGAGGTACGTGTTCAAAGAATCATCGCCAGTTTGTGAAAATGATCTGAATTACGGTAACATTGTGTCAGGTTTATTACGTATAATCACTTATAGGCTTTAATTTATTTAATAAGTGAATCAGTGAAATGTCTAAATCCTGCTGAAACATATCAAGTGTTTATTTATTCATTTTCTTAGTTGCCAAGATATCACTGTCTTTTTGATTTTCATTCTCAGCTGTTTCTATATTCTATCTTTGGTCCACTAACTCTCAGTGATAGGACATAGGAGTTCAAACAGTGTGAGTATAAAGTGTTTAAATGCAAGGCATCATTGGTGTCCATATAAAATAACCCCAACAGATAGACTATAAGAACAAGGAGAAGTGGAGCAAAAAAGTTTCAAACACCGGTTTCTCTGCCTCCTCTTTGTGCAACATTTCTATTTTCTCCGATGTTTCGATGCAAGATGCACTTCTTGTTTGACGCCTGAAAAGTTTCTGAAGTTTATTTTACGCCTTAAAGTTTGCCGAGAGGTCGTTCATACAATCACTGATGTTTGGTTTGTGTATTTTGTTTGCCTGTCTAATAAAAGCTAAGGAACGTTTCACCTCTGTGTCTTTTATTTTTGCATTTTAACAGTATTAAAGGTGCTATTATATATATATTATATTATATATATTATATATATCATGCTATTTTTAGGCATCAATTATGGGTCTCAGATATATAAAAATATATAAAAACATGAAACACAAACAGATCATGCATTTTAGAAATCCTCCAAACCCCTCTGTTGCAGCCCCGTTAGAGAAACGCTGATTTTGGCTCCTTAGCTTGAAAAAAAAGAAAGAGTGAAGCTGTCCTCTCCTGTTGATGTTCAGGTGTATATCAGTATGTAGTGTCTCTACTTTAAAGAGTCCTCTCCTGTTGATGTTCAGGTGTATATCAGTATGTAGTGTCTCTACTTTAAAGAGTCCTCTCCTGTTGATGTTCAGGTGTATATCAGTATGTAGTGTCTCTACTTTAAAGAGTCCTCTCCTGCTGATGTTCAGGTGTATATCAGTATGTAGTGTCTCTACTTTAAAGAGTCCTCTCCTGCTGATGTTCAGGTGTATATCAGTATGTAGTGTCTCTACTTTAAAGAGTCCTCTCCTGCTGATGTTCAGGTGTATATCAGTATGTAGTGTCTCTACTTTAAAGAGTCCTCTCCTGCTGATGTTCAGGTGTATATCAGTATGTAGTGTCTCTACTTTAAAGAGTCCTCTCCTGCTGATGTTCAGGTGTATATCAGTATGTAGTGTCTCTACTTTAAAGAGTTCTCTCCTGCTGATGTTCAGGTGTATATCAGTATGTAGTGTCTCTACTTTAAAGAGTCCTCTCCTGTTGATGTTCAGGTGTATATCAGTATGTAGTGTCTCTACTTTAAAGAGTCCTCTCCTGCTGATGTTCAGGTGTATATCAGTATGTAGTGTCTCTACTTTAAAGAGTCCTCTCCTGCTGATGTTCAGGTGTATATCAGTATGTAGTGTCTCTACTTTAAAGAGTCCTCTCCTGCTGATGTTCAGGTGTATATCAGTATGTAGTGTCTCTACTTTAAAGAGTCCTCTCCTGCTGATGTTCAGGTGTATATCAGTATGTAGTGTCTCTACTTTAAAGAGTCCTCTCCTGTTGATGTTCAGGTGTATATCAGTATGTAGTGTCTCTACTTTAAAGAGTCCTCTCCTGCTGATGTTCAGGTGTATATCAGTATGTAGTGTCTCTACTTTAAAGAGTCCTCTCCTGCTGATGTTCAGGTGTATATCAGTATGTAGTGTCTCTACTTTAAAGAGTCCTCTCCTGCTGATGTTCAGGTGTATATCAGTATGTAGTGTCTCTACTTTAAAGAGTCCTCTCCTGCTGATGTTCAGGTGTATATCAGTATGTAGTGTCTCTACTTTAAAGAGTCCTCTCCTGCTGATGTTCAGGTGTATATCAGTATGTAGTGTCTCTACTTTAAAGAGTCCTCTCCTGCTGATGTTCAGGTGTATATCAGTATGTAGTGTCTCTACTTTAAAGAGTCCTCTCCTGCTGATGTTCAGGTGTATATCAGTATGTAGTGTCTCTACTTTAAAGAGTCCTCTCCTGCTGATGTTCAGGTGTATATCAGTATGTAATGTCTCTACTTTAAAGAGTCCTCTCCTGTTGATGTTCAGGTGTATATCAGTATGTAGTGTATCTACTTTAAAGAGTCCTCTCCTGCTGATGATGTGATTGGTTAGCTGGCCGGCTCTATTGGGATTGGTCCACCGCTTAGAGATGTCCCGCCCCTTACCCTACCACGTACAATGTGTTAGACCAGTGTTTCTCAAACTTTTTCATACCAAGTTCCACTTAACCAATAAAAAAAAACTCGCGGACCACCTAACTCCACAAATATCCAAAAACAAATCGTTTTTCTAGAACAGATTACAAATCGCCTGAAAATGGTACAAACATGTGGCAACATGTGTGATGAAGGTGTTGTGCGGGGCTATATCATGCAAAGTGAAACTTAAGCTCGCTCCATTGCGGAGATATTCCCGCGAGAGTGCGGAAACTTTAATTAATTAATTAATGTGAAATGTTACCAATACACTCACGGACCACACTTTGAGAAGCACTGTGTTAGAGCGCTAGCAAATAAAACGTGTTCCTTAGTGAAGTCACTTTGTTCTGGCAGTGCACACAAACCTATAAAACACTAACGGAGAGGGACAACCCCCCTAAAAGCAGGAATAGGGCCTCTTTAATCAAACTACATCAAATGGAAACCATGGCGTGACTTCAGGAAGTGTGTGTGCTCAGCAGTTTATGATACACCTAGGCTACTATAGTAGAGTGCGTTTAGTGTGGTCATATTAAATGTCAGACTGACGGCAGTGATCCATCATCTGAGTCGTTCCTCTAATGAAGTCTGTGGCTCCACTCCAACATCCTCACAGAAAGGAACTGAACTCAAGCCAAAAGTCCTCTATAAGAACAGAGATGCTGAATATATGTCTGCTAGTTTCATTATTTCACTCAAACCTTATTGTTCTCCCGTCTCTTAATTGTTTGTTTAGTTATTTATTATTCTAGGGTCAATGTGAATGTTTTGTATTCCTGTTACCTGTGACTTTGTGATGTGAGTTATTTATTTTTCTTGTATTTATTTGTATTATTTTATATTTTTCTGTGAACATAACCTAATAGGATAGGGGATGGGTATTTGTCTTTCCTTTATCACACAACTTGTTCTGTACTTTGTTTAATGTGCTGAAAGTGCCATGTCTGCAAAATAAAGGATTCACTCGGAAATATTAGAAAAATAAAAAAGGTATTATTTTTATTTAAAGGGCCCCTATTATGCTTTTTGGGGTTCTTCCCTGTGTTCTATAGGTTTCAGTGCATGTAAATGGTCTGCAAACGCAAAAATCACCTTCTCAAAAACCTCTTGTTTCAACTTCTCCCACAAAAGTAATTTTCAGATTATCATGATATTATTTTTATTTCATTTGTGTGCATGCTATTTCACTTCATCACTCCCACAGTCCTGCAGGCCTTACATCGTTCACGTTATTCTTCACATTCATGTTTTTCACAGAGGAAATCACATCAAGCATCAGAACAAATACTGTCCATCTCGAAACCTCCGACATGCACAGAAGAACAGACAGATTGTCATTGGAAGATCCAGATTTATAATCCACCTCGTCATTTAACGTCAAAGAGTCATTTACAAGATGGACGCTTTCTTTCTTTTTTAAGGCATCTGATCCAACATCGCTGAGTTATTTGTTGTTTCCTCTCAGTCATGCAGCGACAGAAGATCCCTCATGACATTCCACATCAGTTCACTTTGGTTTGAATTTGATTTAAACCACCATTTTGAATTGTATTAGCCTATTAAATGCCTAATTTGAGTTGTCATTACCACCATTATAATGCTACGACGGAGCCATCTGCCCCTACTGCCATCGAGAAAAAAATACACGCTGTTAACAAAACTTCCTCAGTTAAGTTTGAATATATTAATTATAATTCCCTCAGATTTAGTCAATCGTGTTTGCACCAATTTAATAAGGGCTACACTTCAGGTGTTTTAATCTGGTTCAAAACTGCTGCCAGCATTCAGGAGAGACTGTGTGTTCATGCAGGATTGAAATTGGGATTTGGGGCCTGAACAAACTCTGGTAAGGTTTAGTAAAATATCCGGGTTTGGGTTAAAACAAGTACATTGTGGCGTGACCTAAGCAGGTATTTAAGTAAAGTACGTAAGTTTCCGTACTTGCACAATTTACACATTTTCAAGTTTACCTGAAAGTTAGCTATCCATCTCAACCTCCTTCGTTTCTATTTATATTTAGTCACCTGACTTTCTCCTTAAACCGTCATTATTACCACCGGTGATAACAGCCATTCAATGGGCTGATAACACTCAAAGGAGCTTCTGAAAACAGTGTTAATCGGCTCTCTTCACAGCTGATGCTACACGTTGCTATAGTTGGTCTAGTCTATATAAATAACTTGAGCAAGTTAAGTCTGTTTCGCTAATAATGTACGTGACTTAAGTCTGAAGTCAACGTGTTTTGTCCTGGGTGGAAGCATTGATGTTTAAAGAGAAATTGATTCAGCTTTAAGCGCATTTTACAACTTCTAGACACTAATGATTTAAACAAGGGCTATAAAAGTGTTGGGTTGTTGATGTAGGTCACAGAAAGAAGGATTTGATGATTTCCAGACGTCTCTTTCCCAATTTAAGCCGATGGGAAAAAGTATTTTTGGGCCTAAGGATGTCGCGGACTCACAGGGAAGTTGTAGTACCGCCGTTTGGCCACTACGGACATTTGCTTCAACGTCCGACAAGGGTGAAAGTCATGTGTTTATTGATCCATCTTAACGCTCTTTATACGACGTCCCTTAACATCCTTTGCTCCCATCAGAAACACAATGTGATCCTTTTTTAAATTCCCCCGAGATGGGTCAGTTAACCAGATAAAGGCCTTCTGAGCAAACTAGCAGGTAGAGTATCGCCTCAAATCCTTGACTCACATGAAAGTTAATAACGTCCATTTAATGGGCTGAAAACCCTCACTGGAAACAGTTAAAATGGCGGCTCCTCACAGCTGATGCAGCTCCTTCCTCTTCAGTATGTTGGAGTAAGATGCTCCAAGTAGCTGTAGTTAATCACACCTCCATAGTCTCTATATAGTCCTCCTCCATGTCATCAGTAGCATCATACCCCTCCTCTTCCTCCTCAATTTGACTACAATGTGTTGTCCATGTCTTCATTTTGAAATAAAATTACCGAAAAGAACCGAACTGGACATATTGGAGTTGAAATCTGACTTAATATCTTCTATTTTTTTATATGAAAACACTATTCGGAGCTTCTATGGACCTGCTTACATTAATGTGTTTTTTTGTGTTCTTTCGTTGACAATCTGATTATTATAAAACCCTTAAAAGGATGCAATGTTCCAGTATTTTTAAAACAACATGATCATTGATGGTCAGATGGTTTTTATGTGTGTACTGTCATTTCTTGCTTCTGAGAAGGACTTGCATTATTATAACCACTGGAGTTTGGAAACAGTTAAAATGGCGGCTCCTCACAGCTGATGCAGCTCCTTCCTCTTCAGTATGTTGGAGTAACGGCCTGTCCACACTACAGCTTCGATAGCTTCAAAAACGGTTTCCAACGCGTCTGCCCATTCACTTTGAATGGGGTGACGTCACTTTTCGCCGAACTGCATTGTGGGAAGCAGAGCGGAGCTTTCCTGGCGTTTCAGGCTGCAAAAGTTGAGCAATGTTCAACTTTTGAAGCTTCTGAAGCTTTCGGTGGAAGCGTCAGTCAATCAAATAATATGCCAGTACAAGCTCTAGCCAATCAAACCGCTGCTTGTGTGTCAGGGGCGGGAGATTCATGTGATTGGTTGTTGGTCGAGCTTCAGACAAGCCCAGCTCCAAGCTTTTTTTGAAGCTGTAGTGTGGACAGGCCGTAAGATGGATGAAGAAGAAGAAGACATACTTTATTAGCTGTAGTTAATCACACCTCCTTCGTCCTCGTAGTCTATCGTCCTTGACTCTGTAACGATTGACCTTCTTGCAAGAATAAACTCCCTAAAAGACCGTCTAATCCCAAGAATCTTAATTTCAGTATAACGGAAAGGTTTCCTCAACATTTTATTATCATTTGTTAGTTTGTCTCGATAAATGTCCACCACTCCTCAGAGCTGATGCAGCTCCTTCCTCCTCAGTGTGGAGGAGTAAGATGGATGCTCCACGTAGCTGTAGTTAATCACACCTCCATCGTCCTCATAGTCGATATCGTCCTCCTCCATGTCATCAGTATCATCATCCCCCTCCTCCTCTTCCTCTTCCTCCTCTTCTTCTGGCTCCTTCTCGCAGCTCATGTTGATTTTCCGCCGGTGGTTCTTCCTCACCGAGGCCTCCAGAGCTTTCTGCTGGCGGTAGAAGTGAGAGAACTTGTTGAAGATGATGGTGATGGGCAGCGCCACCACCAACGTACCGCCCAGAATACATCCGCTCGCTGCCAGCTTCCCGGCCACCGTGTCGGGAACGACGTCTCCGTACCCCACCGTGGTCATGCTGACGGTGCCCCACCACCAGCAGGCCGGGATGGTTTCCAGACCCACGTTCTGAAACAGAGGGGGCTTTATTGTTAGGAGGTTAAGAAAAACATTCAAATGTTTAAAAAGCCATGGGATTTTGAAGTTACAGAACTGTACTGTCTGCATTAACATCATTATTATAGAACTAGTATTAAATCATTCAAATATTGTTGAATATTATTTATTTGTTACTATCTTTGTATTTTGATTGTTATTTTGTATTTTCTTTATTATTAAACTAGTTACATTTTGTTTCTTTTTATTCTTATTAGGATTAGAATCAATTTACAATTTGTAATCATTATCATTTCAATATTAAATATTATTTAACAATTTTTTTTTTTTACCATTTTTTAAAATTATGATTATAATTTTTTTAATTATTGAACTAGTAAAATATTGTTATTTTTTATAACATTAATTATTGTTATTACTATTACATTATTATGAATAATTCATATGACTATTATTACAATAAATATTAAATATTATTTTTAAGATGATTAATATTAGAATTATGATTATTATTGTATTTGTATTATTTAATTATTATTCATTTATCAACAATATCTAGTTTTTATATTATTATCTTATTATTATTACAATTATAGTTTTAATACATTTTCATGTCCTTGTCTTTGCAAACTTATAGAAACGTTGTTAAATAAATAATATAATTTTTCTTTAGAAACACCCTACAGACACTGGAAATAAAAAATCATAAAAATAAGTTAAATGTTTTTATATGAAATACAGATTAAGCGTTTAATGTTACCGTTTCATATTCTGCGGTATAAGCGATGCCAGAGAAGACGGAGACTCCCACAGCGAGATACAGCAGCAGGATGCCCACCTCACGGTAACTGTGCTGCACGAAACACACAGAAACACACTCCTTAAATATAAGTACAAATAATTCCACAGGCTCTTCATGGCTGCAAATTAAAGCATAACAAGTTATTGACATTTTTGTCTGTCTGTCTGTCTGTCTGTCTGTCTGTCTGTCTGTCTGTTTATCTGTCTGTCTGTCTGTCTGTTTCTCTGTCTGTCTGTCTGTCTGTCTGTCTGTTTCTCTGTCTGTCTGTCTCTCTGTCTCTCTGTCTGTCTGTTTCTCTGTCTGTCTGTTTCTCTGTCTGTCTGTCTGTCTGTCTTCTGTCTGTGTGGGATTTAGTTGCCCTGGTGTTAAGCAGTATTTACATTGTAACTCTACCTATTTTTCTATAAAGTGAAGATTTGTTTACCTACTTTTGATACATGCTCTGACAGAATAACTGTATGCTTTTGAAAAAACCCAATAAACAAAGACAAAAAAAAAACAGGTTTATTTTATTGTGGAAGTTCATAAAGAAATATATGTATATGTTATATTTATATATCATTCTCATTAAAACTGCCCACAAGTTATATCAAAGGTACAAAAACTAAAATACGTTCATGTCCGATTGATATAGAAATAACCAAAATGAGTCATATTGTTTTTAAGAAAAGCCTCAAGACCCAACTGTTGCACACCACTTTTTTACTGACTTTCCTTTATTGTATTCTAACCTTATATGTTCTTAACTTTTTTTATATTACCATATTTTACTCAATATGTTCCATAAATGACTTTATTTTATTGTATTTTCTCCTCATAGCATTGTGAAGCACCTTGAGATGACGTTGTTTTTAAAGTGTGCTATATAAATAAAATGTTTTATTATCAGTTGTATATGAGTGTGTGGCCGTTGATCATATAAAAGCGTAGAAACCAGGAGCCAGATTGTAAGCATGCTTCCAAGATGAGGCAAACAAAATGAAGCTCAGCGCAAGTTCAAGGAAGGAAGACTGGCTCTACATTAATTCACTCCTTAGCTGCATTTAATCAGCTTATTATGGGCACTGTCTTTGAACCAATCACATTTCACCACAATCTCCAGGAGCCAATCACCGTGCTGCAGTCAAGCTTTAAAATGGTTCAATTCCAGATCTTCATCCCTTCTCCTCATCAATTCCAGATCTTCATCCCTTCTCCTCATCAATTCCAGATCTTCATCCCTTCTCCTCATCAATTCCAGATCTTCATCCCTTCTCCTCATCAAATCCAGATCTTCATCCCTTCTCCTCATCAATTCCAGATCTTCATCCCTTCTCCTCATCAAATCCAGATCTTCATCATCCTCTTCATCCCACCTCCTCATCAAATGTGCTATCATGCTCACGGCTGCATTTCCCCCTTAAGATATACGATATCAGGATCGGGGTCTAATCGGGAAATACTATTAACATTTCCATCGTATGGCGCAGGCGTAAATAAATGTTCTTTAAACAACAAAGGAAATCTCTCCTGACTGAAGTGGCAGTATTAAATCCTAAATTGGCTCCAGAGTAAATCTGTGTTTGTTTGTGAGGAGCAGAACACTTTGAATATTGTGTTTAAAAACCTCCATTGCCTTTGAAAAGAGAATGGTTGGCAGCAGCTTGGAAGCAGGAGTGGGAGCTAGCCGGGCCCTCCCGAATTCACCGTTACATCTGGGACCCAAGAGATGGCGCCATTGGAGGAGACGACCTACCGCGCCGGTAGTGGACCACTCTGAACCGTCTACGAACTGGGGTCGGTCGCTTTAAAACATCGATGAAGACGTGGGACTTGGCGGAGAGTGCGGCATGCGAGTGCGGTGACCCTGAGCAGACCGCTGTCCATATAATCACCATCTGCCCCTTATATAGACCACCCTCGGAAGCCAGCCTCTTCGACCTAGGACCAGAGATGCGGGCATGGCTACACGACACCGAGTTGGACCTCTAACGTTACACGAAAGAAGAAGAAGCCTTTGAAAAAATGAAGTTGATATGCAGTAAAGAAACCGATAATTTCTCAGTGTATAACTTTTGATGCCGCTCACGAACCAGGAGCTTTTATTAAAGTTCTGCTTGGATCTTAATGTAAATATAAATGCATCCAAATCCAGTGAAACATAAAACAAATTATCTAAGATCATAATTCATCTTTTCACATTACAGCTCATGCAAGTAGAGCTCATGTTGAGACATGAAGAGGGACACATGAACTCCTGGGAGACTCGTTGTGATGTAATGGAGACGCTGCTCTGTGAGCCTCTGCTGCTGTAACTGATACACTTCCCATCGTACACTATAATAACATCACACAACAAAACTCCACTGATTCAGTCCTGGAAGATTTCCATCAATAATTAATGCTCAAAAGGAAAAGTCCTGTTCCAGACAATCCCTGTTTGCAGAACTGAGGAGCAAAACATGCCTTAGTTATGTTAACCGTATATATATATATGAATTTAAAGGTACAGTTAGCGATAGTCTAAAAAGCTTGACTTGACCATAAAACATTCTGCTGTACTGATGAGCAAACATTGGGACATCTTTTTAGTTTCGATTTGTCCAAGAAAGCAAAATGTATTCTTCAAAAGGTGCTATACGTAGCAGTATGTAAAAACATGTTCATTTGTAAACGCATTTTCAAAGGTATTTAGAGTCTATGATTGCCACTTAAACACAAGCCATCTTTCTCAATTTGCTGTGAGGAGATGGATGAGATATTTAGGTACAGTGGTAAGTTCAAATGTAATCTTGAAAAGTGCAAGATTCTTAGCTACATGCAAACACAAAGCAAAGAAGTGGAGCGATTACACTTCAATGTCTGTTGGGTTGCACTGATCGGTAATAACCGCAAAAGAAAGAGCAAGAAGAAATTGACTGTAACATTTAAATCTGTATCGTACAATCACTGATGTTATCGTGTAGGCTACAATAACAACAAATCACTTTCTATTAAACAGGAAGGCAGGGGTTGACAACTAGCTACTGGAAACTGAGTAAAGCTAAGGTTAGCCAGCTAGCTGTAACCTAAATTAAGCTACATTTAGCCAGCTAGCTGTAACCTAAATTAAGCTACATTTAGCCAGCTAGCTGTAACCTAAATTAAGCTACATTTAGCCAGCTAGCTGTAACCTAAATTAAGCTACATTTAGCCAGCTAGCTGTAACCTAAATTAAGCTACATTTAGCCAGCTGCTGAGCCTACGTTTGGCTAGGTTTAGCAAGCTAACTCTAACCTAGGTTAAGCCGAGGTTAGCTGCTAGCTGTACACAAGCAGGGGCGGATTGGCCGGTACCGAAGTGGGCCGGTCGGCCGGTCGAGTTTCCCGGGCTGATTTTTAGTCCCAGTCCGCCCCTGGACTCACAAGTGTCTCAAATAAGAAGGATTTTTTGGAAGTTCTACCAAGTACTTTAAACCAGTACTTGTTTTTATTTTATAGTGCTGAAAAGTGAATATTTTTTTCACAATGATGGTCTTAAGATTGGACCGGGAAAGATGCTTGTTTTTTTTGGGAATGCTGCACTCTGGTCCAGTTTTGTATAGATTTAAGGTGTCTTCTCAAAAAAGGAATTCAATAGTTTAAAAAATCCAGTGATACAATCTTAAATATCAACATTTGTTGCAGTAGGAACTAGTGTTCCTATGTTTCAACTTAAAACAAATCGCATTTGTAAAACTTCTATTTGGCTTGTTTATATTTCACTCTCCAACTTCCTGTAGTGTGTTCATAAATCCAAAACCAACAACAATGTTTTTCAGCTCGCTCCTACATCGTTCCATCACTCTTTATCTGAAGCGTCTGCAGAAAAGGTCAAAAGTGTCACACAGAAAATAAAAAATCAATGGCATCATGTTTTGTCTTCCTTGAGGGTCTCTGAGGTTTAATGTCACTGCATGTCGGTCTGCCGCGAGTCAGAAAGTCAAACGTTAAATAATTCAGTCCGTCTCACCCTGAGTGTCGCTCCCAGAGACCGAAGTCCTGTCGAGTGTCGAGCCAACTTCAAAACCCTGAAGACCGTCATCAACTTCAACACCTGAGAGGAGACATGAGGGAAGAGATGAAGGGAGACAAGATTCATGCTTTCTATTACATTTTCTAACCATCAAAAAACCCTTAAAACATCAGCAGCCCAGGTGGTGATTACGGGATAATGGCCACTGAATTCCTCTTACGTTACGTGCATTTCTGATATTTACAAGATATAAATTGCCCATTGAATCTACAATCATGTAAAGGTTTTTTTGGGCTTTATTAATTAAAAACTGGACATGCAACAACCTCAGACATCAGACAAAGCACACTGTGTTACAGTTACATCACATATCAACCTTTGAGAGGAGCAATCCAGTAAATATGTGATATAGAAGAACGTACGTGTGCCGTAAATAAAAGAGCAAACATGATATTATTTTTGAATGATAGTGACATCTTTAAATGTGGAACATATCCAGTGGTGCAATGCACGTCAATAACTGTACTTAAGTACACATTCGAGGTACTTGAGTATTTCCCTTTCTTGCTAATAATACTTCTACTTAATTAAAATGAAGCTCAGCGTAAATTCTTTCAGGAAGACTGGTTCCCACGCTCTCATTCACAATTCTCCCTCACTCACTCGCCCCCTTCTCAATTAGCAAAAGGCGCAACTCACCCCAGCTAAACCAATCGGCTGCGTCTTATTTTCCACAGCCAATCAGCACACCAGGCAAAACGTTTAAATCCGCTCTTCTCTCCCCCGTCAGCATCGTTCAGGAGAATTGATGCAACCCTCCTCCAGCTGTTCAGATCCAAGGCAGGACAGCCCAGAAGAACCCTCATCACTCCGGATTTTATTTTCCCTTAGTATTCACCACCACCAGTGTCTAGACCAGAGGTCGCATTTTTAACAATGATGGAAAAATCTGAAAGCCGTCCGTCATTTTGACAGATTAGTACAAACTCAGAACAGCGCCAAAGTATCCCCGCAGCGGGGCTCCGTTATTATGCTGTGTTATGCATGCCCGCCCGAAAGGAAATTATATCGTTTCCAAACCTAACGTTGCCGAACAGATCAACAAAAGTATTTGCTTTACGCTGTGCGCGCTCTCGCGAGGTGCTGTGGGCATGCATAACACGCGTTGACAGTTCACGAGCGTGCTCTCTCCGCCCCCCGGTAGAGTTGTGTACAGGCCGACGGGTGATAATGGATTTTGACCTATGATTTTGACGGAAATGTTGCGATCCTGTCCGTCAAAATGACGGGCAGCGAAAAAGTCTAGCGCAACCTCTGGTCTAGACCCTGGGGGGGTTTCTCTTTTTAGTCGGCTTCCCCTCCCCCCTAATTCATCACAGTATGATGGGGTCTAATCTCCAAAAACACTATTGCCACACGGCAATACAAATGTTATCAACTTCAACTAAGTCTCTCCTGATTGAATTATATTTGTTCAAGTTTGTTTGTAAGAAACACTCGGACCTTCCTCAGCTTTCTCTGTCCACCTTTGTGGACTTCTATGTGAAGGACATGAGACATTTCTTTCGGGAAAATACAAAAGGATGAGATGTCTAGGGCCAGAGTCTAACGATTTGTTCAAATGTAATTTTCGGGGAAAAAGTGTTAAGAAATATAGTAAGTCTTAGCTACATGAAGCATGAGCCATTAAGCTTCCATCTATGATGAGTTAGTTGCACATCACTGATCGGGCATGAATTACCACAAATAAATTACATTCGAGGTACTTTAGTATTTCCATTTCATGCTAATAATACTTCCACTTCATTCAATCCTGTACTTTTACCTGCATTTGTTTGATATCAAAGTCTATGAATGTACAAATCTGCACTTTTCTTGTATGGGAAAAACGGCTTAGCAATTAATTGAATTTGTTTACATACATTATGTAAGAGAATATTTTCATCTGATCTGTTTATAGAGTTTCTTATTGTTTTATAGAATCTGTGATACTGCAAACATCTGCTTGTAGTCAGTCAAAGACTCCTATGTAAGTTGAGGTCACAGGTCAAACGCTTCTCCTATATTCATGGGGGAGGGTTGAGGCTTGTCTGGATCTCTTTGAGACAAGTAGACTATTGTCTCACATCTGCTACTAATTAGGTATACGCGGGCTTTCTGGGAGCCCGCCTCTCCTCGTGTTGGTTAGATGTTTTGTGTCTTTTGGTTCAGGGATTACCTTGGTGGAGCACAAGGACAGTGTGAAACTAGGATGATCTCCCGGCCGTATGTAATTGTCTGTCTCTCAATACATATCAGTGTATTGACAGGCGAATCCAGTTTCCCTCATTTGATGATTGGCTCAACATTGCTGCAAAGAAGTTTTTACTTCACACATTACAAAGAAACCTGTATGAGTCTCCCCATTAAAAGGTTACATCCATACACTATTTGTACATTATAAAGTATGATAAGGTGTACCTGAATGAGTCTCCCCAGGTCTCCCTGCTCAGACTCGTCTCCCATCAGGAGCTCCAGAGGCAGCGTGATGTAGATCGGAGCCACGGATACCAGATCAATAATGTTCAGAGGCTGGTGGAAGAACTTCCTCTTGTTGGGAGCGAGCAGCAGCCGCATCACCACCTCAAACACGGAGACAACAGATCTGATTTTCTACTTTCATTGATACGATAATAACCTGTTATTACTATACATATAATATCCTAACGTATCTTGTTGTATCGTATCTCATCATATCGTTAAGGAACATATCATATTGTGTCGTACAGTAACATATCGTATTATTTAAAATTAGATGAATGCAAATACCACTTTGTAATATATCGTATCATATGGTATTATTTGGAATTGTATCGTATCAGTATGCACCATTGTTTATTTCTATAATCTCCTCACCTCGAATGTGAACCAGCAGGTGCAGAAAACCTCCAGAGCCTGCGAGGTCGGGTCGTCGATCAACTTCCCTTCACCTTCAAACGTCTGGAAGATAACAGGTGGGAGGTTATTTATTAAGATGACAATTCTACTTTTTACAACCTTATTTTTCACCAAATACCAGCAGAGTCCTCCTTTATCAATGGGTAACTTTTAAACTCTTTAAACTTTCAAATCCATGATGTTTCTCAAGCAAGTTCTGCAGAATGAAGAAGAGTCTTTTTCAATGACCTCTAAGCCGATAAATGGACGTTGCATATTGATGAACATCAGATCAGAAAGCACACGTTACACTGATTAAAAAAACGTGAAGTTAAAGTAAAAGTAAAGAAGTATGGGCTTCAAAATGTACTTAAGTAAAAAGTACCCATAACTAGCAGCTGTTTTAAAGAGTACCTGACCTCCCTTTATATTCATAGAACAATAATGTCATTGTTAGCTAATGAATGTTTCCATGCTGAACAACGGCAACATGACAACGTTTCAACATGTAAGAAGTAGAAAGTACAGGTATTTGAGTTCAACATGTAAGAAGTAGAAAGTACAGGTATTTGTGTTCAAAATGTAAGAAGTAGAAAGTACAGGTATTTGTGTTCAACATGTAAGAAGTATAAAGTACAGGTATTTGAGTTCAACATGTAAGTATAGGTATTTGAGTTCAACATGTAAGAAGTAGAAAGTACAGGTATTTGAGTTCAACATGTAAGTATAGGTATTTGAGTTCAACATGTAAGAAGTAGAAAGTACAGGTATTTGTGTTCAAAATGTAAGAAGTAGAAAGTACAGGTATTTGTGTTCAACATGTAAGAAGTAGAAAGTACAGGTATTTGTGTTCAAAATGTAAGAAGTAGAAAGTACAGGTATTTGAGTTCAACATGTAAGAAGTAGAAAGTACAGGTATTTGAGTTCAACATGTAAGAAGTAGAAAGTACAGGTATTTGAGTTCAACATGTAAGAAGTAGAAAGTACAGGTATTTGTGTTCAAAATGTAAGAAGTAGAAAGTACAGGTATTTGTGTTCAACATGTAAGAAGTATAAAGTACAGGTATTTGAGTTCAACATGTAAGAAGTCAAAGTAAAAAGTCGAGTAAAGTACTGATACCAGAAACATGTACTTAAGTACAGTAACAAAGTATTTGTACTCCACTACTTCCCACCTCTGCAAATACACAGTCCTAACCCCTCCGATGGAAACTGAGAGTGTGTCACCTCGGGGATGCTGTTGATGCACATGATGGCGATGGAGCTGAGCAACACGCTGATGGACACCAGGCTGAACATCTTGCTGGGGATCGAATACCCCGGGTTCTCCAACGTCAGCCACAAACACTTCCTGATATTCCCGTGCCGAAACTCCTGGAAGTGCTTCATGTCTCTGAGAGGATGGAGGAGGTGGATGTGAGTCTGTGTTGGGAAAATACTGAATGTACTCTTCCAATATGAGAGTAACATGATAACAAAGGTATCCCAACTGTAGCTGTGTTCATGACAGGATGTGTGATTACCTAGAAGAGCATCAGGACTGTTTTAGGCATATGATAGCTATGTGACTGCTTCCATTCTGGAGAGGATCACAAATACATGGATCCTGAGGTTGAAGCTCAAGCCGGGGACCAGTGAGATTTCTCTAACAGTCTGGCTGCATGATTAATCCTCTACTCACAGGTTTGAAGAAGTCTTTCTACCTGTTGAGGTCTGATATCTCGTCCACGGACGTGTCCACGCTGCTCACGTCGCTGTCCTCGTCCCAGCTGTGGTAACGCGAGCTCTCCAGCTTCCTGTCGTGGAAACGGTAACTGCAGCAGGAGTCCAGGAAGAACTCGTTGATGCCCCAATACTCGATCTCCTGACTGCCGGGAAACACGAGACACATCAGGGTAGTGTGAGCACCGGTTAGAGTGTAAAAACATCCCTTTAAAAGCTCTCACACAGTCTTAATTATCCATTCGATGCTCATTGATTAAAATGCTTTTAACGAGATGAATTATTATTTTGCCCTTAATATTTGAAGTATCAGTTTATATGAGAAATAGTTTGTTTGAAAACGTTTATTCATTTTTTCCACTGCTTTTTTGTGAATAAAGAAGCATATTTTACTTTTCAATCGCATCTGGACGTTTATTTTATTTCTTCTCTCAACAACAAGCGTCTATTCATCGAGTGAATCACAGACAAAAGAGTAAAACAAATGGATATCGTGGTCACTACACTTACTGTTTAAAACACTTCTGCATAAACAGTTTGAGCTCGCACACGTTTCAAGACATTAAGGTATTTGTGAAGTAATGAGAGTACTGGGCTGGGTATATATATAACTTGGATTACACTACAAGAGTTGTGATTTTAAATATAAGTGTTGCCATAGATTTGCTGTGTGTCATGTCTCGGAAACTTATCATGAAAGTCTATTCTTTATATTAGTGTTGTCATGTCCCTTTGTTCTGTTCCCGCTGTCTTATTGTAATAAGTATTCCTCCTCTCGTTTCAGATCTCCATGTCCCCGCCCCTATGTGTCTCCTGTGTTCGTGATTGGTTTCCCCGCCCTGATTGTTTCCACCTGTTCCCCTCACCTTGTGTATATATTGTGTTAGTCCCCACCTGTAGTGCCAGTTCGTTTCTTATTCATGACCACGTTCAAGCCTGCTCCATGGTCGTATCCTGTTTTCTCATGATCACGATTATTGCATTTAGTTTTTCCTCGGAAGAGTGATTTTGTGTTTCTTGTTTTTGTTACTGTGTTAATTCCACTAAAGTCTTTATTTTTGAATACCACCCGAGTCTGAGTCTGAGTTGTGCATTTGAGTTCATGCCCACTTGTCAACGTTGAGACCTCAGAAATCGGGAGCATTTCAAAACCACCGCGGGGGGGGGGGGGGGGGGGGTCGAGTTGTCGATTCTTGTTCTGTTTTCTGTGACTATATCTTCCTCCTCACCCTCTCAGACTTTCAGTTGCGCGCGCTACTAAAGAGACGTGCTACCATGGAAACCAAACAATGGTGTAGCTGTATTAAAGTGGAAACAGTCCTGAGTAAATCTGATTTTGTCAGAAATCGGGAGAAATATGACCGCGGGAGGAAACCGGGAGAGGGCAATGAAATCGGGAGAACATACGGGTTGGCAAGTATGTTCATGCCTCTGAGTTCACCCCGTGACACTGTGTAAAAACCCTTCGAATCATCAAGACATTTCACCATGCATGTAAGGCATTGAAGAAAGTTTTCTTAAAGTATTAAATGACATACTATACACATTCTGTGCGATAAGTATTCATTAAGACCCTGTTAAGTTGATTTGTCTGCTTCTGAAATGGCTGTAAAGTTTTCTTGCAGATGTAAACCTGATGCAGACCCGAAGGAGAACACACGATGATGTGCAAGAATTGTGATTTGAAATGAACGTTTTGATATAGATTTGCTGTTGTAAAAAGCCTTTAACTCATCAACACATTACTCAGTTATCCTTCATCATGCATGTACAGTAAGGCATTCAGGTTAACAGAGTGTGCAAGGTTAGTAAAGGACCTACTATAGAAATAGTCATTTTGTGGGATAAGTATTCATTAAAGCCCGGTGAAGTTGATTTGTCTACTTCTGAAATTGGTGTAATTGTGTCCAGATGTAAACCTGATGCAGACCTGAAGGAGAACACGCACAGCTCCTCCATGATGTGAAGTTTCCCCGTCTGGTAGAAGTGCAGAACGTAAGGAAACAGACCGGGGTTCCTGTCGAAATAAAACTCCTTCTGCTGCACGTCATAGTCGTCACACACCTGCAGGAAGGGAAGATAAAGAAATGAGAACAGTTCCAGTTCAGAGTCCAGTTAATTCAACTCCATTCACTTTGACTTGATTTGGGATATTAAAGTCAAAGTCAACTTTATTGTCAATCTTTCAGTCTGTGTGTACAGAGAGAGATATCGAAATACCGTGTCCCACCATCCCGAATACAAAAATACAAATATCTATAAAAATATGTGTATCCTATATATATATACACAATCAACACACATTTATACATATGCACACATTAAGACATAAATAAAAGCACAACAATCAATATATACAAAATAACAGTCACTTCAATATCTTTGGGAAATGATCTATTGTTTATAAGACAGATCCCAGTAATGGACCCACATTACATTTACATTACATTACATTTAGCTGACGCTTTTATCCAAAGCGACTTACAATAAGTGCGTTCGTCCAACAAAATACAACTTGGAGAAAACAGAATCATAAAAGTACATCAGGTTTCATAGAGCAAAAACATTTCAAGTGCTACTCAACTGGCTTTAGATAAGCCAGTCCTTTATTAGTATAAAAGTGCTTCGTTAATAGTTCTATCGCTCGAAGTGGAGTCGAAAGAGATGAGTTTTCAGTTTGCGCCGGAAGATGTGCAAGCTATCTGCCGTCCTGATGTCAATGGGGAGCTCATTCCACCATCCTGGAGCCAGGACAGCAAACCCACGTGTTTTCGCCGTTGGGAACTTGGGTCTCCCTCGCAGCGAGGGCGCAGCGAGTCGTTTGGCTGATGCAGAGCGTAGTGCACGCGCTGGGGTGTACGGTTTAACCATGTCCTGGATGTAGGAAGGGCCAGATCCATTCGCAGCATGGTACGCAAGTACCAGTGTCTTGAAGTGGATTCTAGCAGTTACCGGAAGCCAGTGAAGGGAGCGGAGGAGCGGAGTGGTGTGGGAGAATTTAGGAAGGTTGAAGACCAGACGAGCCGCTGCATTCTGGATGAGCTGCAGAGGTCGGATGGCACATGCAGGTAGACCAGCCAGGAGGGAGTTGCAGTAGTCTAGGCGTGAGATGACGAGAGCCTGGACCAGAACCTGAGTCGCTTTCTGTGTCAGCTGGGGACGTATCCTCCTGATGTTGTAAAGCGTGTATCTGCAGCAACGGGTTGTAGCAGCGATGTTTGCAGTGAAGGACAGGTTGTTATCTAGGGTCACACCCAGATTCCTTGCAGTCTGAGTCGGGGAAACAACTGAGGTGCCGATGTTGATTGTTAGGTCAAGAGTGGGACAATCTTTTCCCGGAAGGAAGAGCAGCTCAGTCTTGTCAAGGTTGAGTTTGAGGTGATGAGCAGACATCCACTGAGAGATGTCAGCTAGACAAGCAGAGATGCGTGCGACGACCTGGGTCTCTGAGCGGGGAAAGGACAGAATTAATTGGGTGTCGTCAGCGTAGCAGTGGTAAGAAAAACCATGCGAGCTAATGACTGATCCGAGCAAGTTTGTGTACAGGGAGAAGAGGAGGGGACCAAGAACAGAGCCCTGAGGGACCCCTGTAGTTAATTGACAAGGGTCGGACTCAGACCCTCTCCAAGTCACCCTGTAGGTACGGTCTTTCAGGTATGAGGTGAGGAGGGAAAGTACAGAGCCTGAAACTCCAAGTTTTTGGAGAGTGCGAAGGAGGATCTGATGATTCACCGTGTCGAATGCAGCAGACAGGTCCAACAGGATGATGACAGAGGAGAGGGATGCAGTTTTGGCAGTGTGCAGTTCCTCCGTGACAGCAATGAGAGCAGTTTCTGTGGAGTGACCTGCCTTGAAACCAGACTGGTGCGGATCCAGAAGGTTGTTCTGATGGAGTAGCAGGAGAGTTGTCTAAAGACAGCGCATTCAAGTGTTTTAGACAGGAACGGGAGGAGAGAGACAGGCCTGTAGTTTATAACATCTGACGGGTTGAGAGTGGGTTTCTTTAGGAGAGGGTTTACTCTTGCCTCCTTGAGACTGTTTGGAAAGTGACCAGAAGTTAGAGAAGTGTTGATGAAATGGGTGAGAAACGGTAGAATATCAGGAGCGATAGTCTGAAGGAGGTTTGAAGGGATAGGGTCCAGAGGACAGGTGGTAGGGCGGGCAGAGGTAATGAGGGTAAGAACCTCACTTGGAGAGAGAGGGGAAAAGGAGGTAAGTGTGTTGGTGGAAGGAGGGTCTGGTGACCCAGCGGTAAGTAAAGGTGAGTCAGAAAAAGAAGAGCGAATATCATCAACCTTTTTTTCAAAGTGGGTAACAAAGTCGCTTGACAGAAGTGAGGAGGGGGGAGGAGCTTTTGGAGGGTCCAAGAGGGAGGAGAAGATGGAAAATAGTTTTTTAGGATTGGAATAGGAAGATTGGATCTTATCTTGAAAGAAAGTGCTTTTTGCCTGAGAGATCGAAGCAGAGAAAGAGGAGAGGAGAGCTTGATAGGTTAGGAGGTCGTCACGGTGTTTGGATTTCCACCATTTCCGCTCTGCTGCCCGAAGGATGGTTCTATTAGCACGCAGTGCATCATTTAGCCAGGGAGCAGGAGGGGACTGACGAGCCTGCCGAGATGTGAGAGGACAGAGCGAGTCCAGAGTGGATGAGAGAGTAGAGAGGAGAGTTTCTGCAGCAGAGTTTGGAGGCAGGAGTTGGAACGAGTCAGAGGAAGGGAGGGCTGAGAGCACCGACGAGGCAAAGGTAGAGGGGGAGAGGGATCGAAGGTTACGGCGGACAAGTGCAGGATGAGAAGAGATTAGTTTGTTATGTTTGGAAAGGGATAGAGAGAATGAAATGAAGAAGTGATCGGATGTGTGGAGCGGGTTTACAGAGAGGTTAGAAGTAGCGCAGTTCCTTGAGAATATGAGATCAAGGACATTGCCAGCTTTATGAGTCGGTGGGGACGGAGACAGTGAGAAAGCAAAGGCGGTTAACAGAGATGTTAGTTCGTCTATCTTCCCCGTCTGGAGGTTGAAGTCTCCGAGAAGTACAGCGGGAGGGCCAGTTTCAGGGATGAGTGAGAGGAGATGATCTAATTCCTCCAAGAAGTCCCCCAAGGCGCCTGGTGGACGGTAGAGAACAACAATGGTTAACTGTATAGGATGGGTTACTGTGACGGCATGGAATTCAAAGGTGGAAGGAGTGAAGTTAGGTAGCTTGAAGAGGGAAAAGCTCCATTTGGGAGAGAGCAGGAGACCAGTGCCACCTCCTCTGCCAGTGGGTCTGGGTGTATGGGAGAAGGAATATCCTGTGGAGAGAGCTGCTGGGGTGGATGTGTTGGATGGAGTAATCCAGGTCTCAGTGAGAGCAAGGAAATCCAGAGACTGCAGGGAGGCGTAGCCAGAGATGAAGTCAGCCTTAGGAACAGCTGACTGGCAGTTCCACAGGCCACCTGAAACTAGATGTTGGATCTCAGTGGAGCATGTGGGATAGACGAGAGCAGGCCGGTTATATCGATTACGAGATATACGGGGCCAGTGATAATTGCGAGAAGACACATGAACAGGAATGGAGAAAATACACATGATTATAGCATGAGGGGCTAAACAACCAAATAAAAATGAAACGAAATAAAAAACACCAGCGATACTTAGCTCAATCAAAGTAGGATTTGCCTCCTCTTTGCCTCCCTCGTGACTCCCGCAGGAATCGAATGTCTTTGCCAGTCTTACTCCCGCAGGACTCTAATGTCTTTGTCAGTCTTAGCCTGTCTGACGCTGAAGCTGACGCTCCAGGAAAGTGCTACCTAAAATGGACACCTGATTGCTGAGTTCTCACAGCTGTGGGGCAACGTCCTTTTAATTAGTTAACTCTCTGCAGCTGGTGGCCCTCAAAAGGAAATCTAGACTGGCTTCGTCCTGATGTGTTATTGTCTTTTAAGTCAATTACATTAAACCCTAAGTTATAAAGTTCTGAGTTTAACCCTTAATACAGTTACACCTACTCAATAAAGCTCTTAGTATTCTACAAATGTTTAAATCAAAGTTAACCCTAGTAGTCAGTTAGATCACTTTTAAGGTTTCAGTCAAATGACTTTTCCCAAGTTTCTGTCTGACAGATGCTGTAGCGGTTTTGAGTTTTTAAAAACACAATTTCAGTCAGATCAACTACAGAGCATTGATACAGAGTACACACACTGAAACAGAGAAGTCTACAAACACAGTGTTACTCACACAATTCTAGAAGTCTCCAGTAGCTTTCTTGTCAAAAACTAGTTGCACACCCACCTTCAGGATGTCCTCCTCGGAGTCACAGGCCAGCAGTTTTCCCAGTCTGGTGTCGGGGAATTTCTTCAGAGTGTCGCAGCAGAGGCTCCTCTTCAGACCCCCGACGTTCACGTGGACCAGAGCCTCGTCCGAGTCCTGCAGGACCCAGCTGGGCAGCCGCTCCTTCACCATGGTGCTGCTGACACGGGCAGAACGTGTTGTCAATCAGTCATTCAGATGTCATTTAAGAAGCCAACAATTACACATTTGTCTCGGGGTTTACATAATATGTAATACAACACCCTCTGTCCTTAAACCATCAAAGTAATATGGCAAAACTCCCAAAGAAACCCCACAATTACATTTATTTTTTAAATGTCCGAAATTCTTCATAATAACTTTCATTCATTTACCTTTGTTATTCAAATGTTATTATCTTTGCTTTTAAATGAGTGTTTTTAAATGCCATTTTATAATATGTTTCTTAATGTCTTTCATTCTTGTAAAGCACTTTGAATTGCCTTGAAGGTGCTATACACTTTATATGCTACTTATGTCACTTGCTGTTGTTTTTTAGATAGCTGCAACTCGTTTTTAGCCATGGATGTGTATTTATTTGTCTTCATTTTGATTATATTTCTAATGTATGCTACACTTCTCTATATTTAATAAGTTAGAGCTAAGTCTTTATTATAGCTTGCCTTGTTTACCTGCTATGCACTTTTTGCTGTAGCACTGTAAATGTCCCGCTGTGGGACTAATGAAGGGATTCTGATTCTGGAAAATGTTATAAATCCCGGGGGAGAGCAACAGAGACGGATCCTTCTCCCGGGACGGACAGACTGATGTATCATGTTTGCCACAGAGCTCCAGTGATGCACGTCAATGAGCCACTGTTCATAACCATGAACACACACACTGTAGTTTATATTGACTCCCACACACACCGTCCTGCCGACACAAATACTGACTACAGCGCCTACATTGGAATTAATCTGAAAATAGTCCCTAACAAAGGCACTATTTTCTCCTTTTGTGTGTCAGTTTTAATGGGAAGTTACAGAGGACGTATATTTAGATTCTTAGAGATGTATTTTCAAGAGGACACATGGGCTTCATCTGGTGGGCTTCTTTTGGAATTGCTCAGACAATAAAACGTGTACTTTGATAACAATTGAAAGATAATAATACAAAACCAAATGAGAAACTGTTTAAGGAAATACTGAGACTTCAAAATATATAGATTTCATTTGGGAGGCATTTCGGAAAAGCATCGCATAATTCAACTTCATAGTATCATGAACTCCCTCTGGAGGAAACATTGAGATTATAGTCTATAACCCTTTACATGCACTAAAAACCTATACAACACACTATATGGAAAGTAACACCCCAAAAAAGCACGATAGGGCCTCTTTAAATTATTCACATCTTCAGAAAGATCAGATGCATTTGGGGCACCGACAGAAAATATTGCTTGTTTTGAAATGAAAGTGTTCCAGTTTTTCTCTATCTAAAGCTGAATCAGCAAATCTCCCAAAAGCAACTGACGTCCTTTTGGCAACGAAGAGGCAGATTTAATGTTCTGCTCCCAATGTTTCCGCCCCTGCTTTCAGATGCAGCCACTCTCATTTCAGCTACTCTGCTAAATGCACTCCGGACACTAATTTAATCTCCGGGGCGTTCTGAAGTTAAAACAAAAACATGCCGGTGTTGGTCGAGAGCCAAAAAGCTTTTACTGGATTTCAGATCTTTGAAGTTTGGGTGTTTTTCTGTAAAATGAGCCACAACACAGATTATAGAGAGCTGTGCTTCTGTGAGGATTGATTTCATATCAACATTATCATGGCTAAAAGCATCTTGTCCTCATGTGATCAGGTTTATAAAAGCACACATAGAAGCAGCCAAAACTCCCACTCTCTCTCCTCTCCTCTGAACACCCACTCTGCACACACACAATAATGAAATCACTCCACAGATGATTAATAACAAACTTTATATCAAACTCAAACTGTGAAAAGTGTTGTGAAGTTTTTAAGTCGCTCTCCTGCCGCAAAGTGTTCCTAAAATATATTTTTATTGCAGTAACATGTTAGTAATAGTGCCAAGAAACAAAATGTATTTGGCCTATTTGTTGTTTTTTAATATTGCTTAGCAACAAGTGGAGTTTGATGGAATAAAGATGAAATGTGGATCATCCTATTTTTTTAAAACGTGTTTAAAGGGGCATCATTATCCACATGTTCAGGTGTATATCAGTATGTAGTGTCTCTACTTTAAAGAGTCCTCTCCTGCTGATGTTCAGGTGTATATCAGTATGTAGTGTCTCTACTTTAAAGAGTCCTCTCCTGCTGATGTTCAGGTGTATATCAGTATGTAGTGTCTCTACTTTAAAGAGTCTTCTCCTGCTGATGTTCAGGTGTATATCAGTATGTAGTGTCTCTACTTTAAAGAGTCCTCTCCTGCTGATGTTCAGGTGTATATCACTATGTAGTGTCTCTACTTTAAAGAGTCCTCTCCTGCTGATGTTCAGGTGTATCAGTATGTAGTGTCCTCTACTTTAAAGAGTCCTCTCCTGCTGATGTTCAGGTGTATATCAGTACTGTAGTGTCTCTACTTTAAAGAGTCCTCTCCTGCTGATGTTCAGGTGTATATCAGTATGTAGTGTCTCTACTTTAAAGAGTCCTCTCCTGCTGATGTTCAGGTGTATATCAGTATGTAGTGTCTCTACTTTAAAAAGTCCTCTCCTGCTGATGTTCAGGTGTATATCAGTATGTAGTGTCTCTACTTTAAAGAGTCCTCTCCTGCTGATGTTCAGGTGTATATCAGTATGTAGTGTCTCTACTTTAAAGAGTCCTCTCCTGCTGATGTTCAGGTGTATATCAGTATGTAGTGTCTCTACTTTAAAGAGTCCTCTCCTGCTGATGTTCAGGTGTATATCAGTATGTAGTGTCTCTACTTTAAAGAGTCCTCTCCTGCTGATGTTCAGGTGTATATCAGTATGTAGTGTCTCTACTTTAAAGAGTCCTCTCCTGCTGATGTTCAGGTGTATATCAGTATGTAGTGTCTCTACTTTAAAGAGTCCTCTCCTGCTGATGTTCAGGTGTATATCAGTAATGTAGTGTCTCTACTTTAAAGAGTCCTCTCCTGCTGATGTTCAGGTGTATATCAGTATGTAGTGTCTCTACTTTAAAGAGTCCTCTCCTGCTCATGTTCAGGTGTATATCAGTATGTAGTGTCTCTACTTTAAAGAGTCCCCTCCTGCTGATGTTCAGGTGTATATCAGTATGTAGTGTCTCTACTTTAAAGAGTCCTCTCCTGCTGATGTTCAGGTGTATATCAGTATGTAGTGTCTCTACTTTAAAGAGTCCTCTCCTGCTGATGTTCAGGTGTATATCAGTATGTAGTGTCTCTACTTTAAAGAGTCCTGTCCTGCTGATGTTCAGGTGTATATCAGTATGTAGTGTCTCTACTTTAAAGAGTCCTCTCCTGCTGATGTTCAGGTGTGTATCAGTATGTAGTGTCTCTACTTTAAAGAGTCCTCTCCTGCTGATGTTCAGGTGTATATCAGTATGTAGTGTCTCTACTTTAAAGAGTCCTCTCCTGCTGATGTTCAGGTGTATATCAGTATGTAGTGTCTCTACTTTAAAGAGGTCCTCTCCTGCTGATGTTCAGGTGTATATCAGTATGTAGTGTCTCTACTTTAAAGAGTCCTCTCCTGCTGATGTTCAGGTGTATATCAGTATGTAGTGTCTCTACTTTAAAGAGTCCTCTCCTGCTGATGTTCAGGTGTATATCAGTATGTAGTGTCTCTACTTTAAAGAGTCCTCTCCTGCTGATGTTCAGGTTCATATCAGTATGTAGTGTCTCTACTTTAAAGAGTCCTCTCCTGCTGATGTTCAGGTGTATATCAGTATGTAGTGTCTCTACTTTAAAGAGTCCTCTCCTGCTGATGTTCAGGTGTATATCAGTATGTAGTGTCTCTACTTTAAAGAGTCCTCTCCTGCTGATGTTCAGGTGTATATCAGTATGTAGTGTCTCTACTTTAAAGAGTCCTCTCCTGCTGATGTTCAGGTGTATATCAGTATGTAGCGTCTCTACTTTAAAGAGTCCTCTCCTGCTGATGTTCAGGTGTATATCAGTATGTAGTGTCTCTACTTTAAAGAGTCCTCTCCTGCTGATGTTCAGGTGTATATCAGTATGTAGTGTCTCTACTTTAAAGAGTCCTCTCCTGCTGATGTTCAGGTGTATATCAGTATGTAGTGTCTCTACTTTGAAGAGTCCTCTCCTGCTGATGTTCAGGTGTATATCAGTATGTAGTGTCTCTACTTTAAAGAGTCCTCTCCTGCTGATGTTCAGGTGTATATCAGTATGTATTGTCTCTACTTTAAAGAGTCCTCTCCTGCTGATGTTCAGGTGTATATCAGTATGTAGTGTCTCTACTTTAAAGAGTCCTCTCCTGCTGATGTTCAGGTGTATATCAGTGTGTAGTGTCTCTACTTTAAAGAGTCCTCTCCTGCAGTATAGGACCCCTTTAACTGAAACCCCTTGCCTCCTGGTGTACATATATCTTAATATCTGCAGCTCACCGAGGGAGAGGCTGCAGTAAAGTGCAGATATAATGTAATGTTATATTGTCTAAATGCAGAGTGTAGGAAATGGCCTCACAGACAGGTGTTAACCTAATGTGGATATAACGGTGTTATAACCGTCTGTCTCTGGATCAGATTTAATCCGTCAAGTGCTCACAGTTCACTGAGGCAGCAGAAATGTGTCTTCATGCAGGAGGAGTGGAGGGCATGTGGGAAGCATGTTAGTAACTAATAACTCAAGCTGTGTTTGATGAGAGCAGATTTAAGGTATTTTAGTAGATTTATTCCATGTTCTGTTATATTGTTTTTTGATAGCCATACTTTGAAGATCTCTATATTGTCTGTTTAACCTTTGATAACAATCTAGAATAAGGTCTGCAGATCCAACATTTCATAAACTCCTTTTTGGTCTAATTTGTGTAGTTGTTTTGTAGTTCAGTTAATTGTCTATTTTGTTGTTTTATTTCCATTTGTAGAACTTTTTGTCCGTTGTTTTGTATCTCTTCTTGGTGTTTTGCGTCTCTGTTTTGTTTTACGTCCATTTGTGGATGTTTTGTGTCTCATTTTTGTAATGTCTATTTGTAGATGTTTACGTCTCTTAGGCGTTGTTTTTTGTTTGTTCCTGTTTTTTTTCTTTCTACTTAGTCGTTTTATGTCCATTGTGGTTGTTTGTGTTTTGTATATTTGTCTTTGCATCCTTTTGTGCTCGTCTGATTGACTTTCCAACAAGACATGCTAACACAGGCTTGAGGCTAATTATCCAACTAACTCAACACTTCCTGACTATTTTTTTGGGGGGGGGAATAAGAATCCTGTCAATGTTAAAAATACCACCATTAATATCTTTACAGGAAATCCCCCATTGTTGTTGTTTGTTTACATTCCTCCTGTTGCAGAATAAACAGTACGAGCGTGATGAGCTAAGCTACAACTGCAGCACGCTTTGCAGCAAAACATGATCCTAGGATCCTTGAACATCTTGCAAGCATCAAACAAAGGTAAAGAGAGTAGTGGGACACTTTGACTCTCTCTCTATCTCCCCCTCTCTTTCTCTGTCTATAATTACATGAGGGTCCATGCTGAGCTCTCGGGGGAGGGTCCGTGCTGAGCTCTCGGGGGAGGGTCCATGCTGCACATACAGAAATAAGGTTGATCTATAATTCAGCACGAAGGAAGCACTGCAGCTTCAAATCCCAGCGGTGTGAAAACGCATCAACAAACACAATGAAGACAACATGGGGATGATATGAAGACAACATGAAGACAACATGAAGACAACATGGAGACAACATGGAGACAACATGGAGACAACATGGAGACAACATGAAGACAACATGGAGACAACATGGAGACAACATGAAGACAACATGAGACAACATGAAGACAACATGGAGACAACATTGAAGACAACATGGAGACAACATGAGAACAACATGAAGACAACATGGAGACAACATGAAGACAACATGGAGACAACATGAAGACAACATGAAGACAACATGGAGACAAACATGAAGACAACATGGAGACAACATGGAGACAACATGAGACAACATGAGACAACATGAAGACAACATGGAAGACAACATGAAGACAACATGGAAGACAACCTGGAAGACAACATGGAGACAACATGGAGACAACATGAAGACAACATGGAGACAACATGAAGACAACATGGAGACAACATGAAGACAACATGGAGACAACATGGAGACAACATGAAGACAACATGGAGACAACATGGAGACAACATGGAGACAACATGAAGACAACATGGAGACAACATGGAGACAACATGAAGACAACATGAAGACAACATGGAGACAACATGGAGACAACATGGAGACAACATGAAGACAACATGAAGACAACATGGAGACAACATGGAGACAACATGGAGAAACATGAAGACAACATTGGAGACAACATGGAGACAACATGAGACAACATGGAAGACAACATGGAGGACAACATGAGACAACATGGAGACAACATGAAGACAAACATGAGACAATGGAGACAACATGAAGACAACATGGAGACAACATGAAGACCAACATGGAGACAACATGAAGGGACAACATGGAGACAAACATGGAGACAACATGAAGACAACATGAGACAACATGGAGACAACATGAAGACCAACATGAAGACAACATGGAGACAACATGGAAGACAACATGAAGACAACATGGAGACAACATGGAGACAACATGAAGACACATGGAGACAACATGGAAGACAAACATGGAGACAACATGGAGACAACATGAAGACAACATGGAAGACAACATGAAGACAACATGAAGACAACATGAAGAACATGGAGACAATGGAGACAACATGAGACAACATGGAGACAACATGAGACAACATGAAGACAACATGGAGACAACATGGAGACAACATGGAGACAACATGAAGACAACATGGAGACAACATGGAGACAACATGGAGACAACATGAAGACAACATGGAGACAACATGGAGACAACATGGAGACAACATGGAGACAACATGAAGACAACATGGAGACAACATGAAGACAACATGGAGACAACATGAAGACAACATGAAGACAACATGAAGACAACATGGAGACAACATGAGACAACATGAAGACAACATGAAGACAACATGAGAGACAACATGAAGACAACATGAAGACAACATGAAGACAACATGGAGACAACATGGAGACAACATGAAGACAACATGAAGACAACATGGAGACAACATGAAGACAACATGAAGACAACATGGAGACAACATGGAGACAAAATCGAGACAACATGGAGACAACATGAAGACAACATGAAGACAACATGAAGACAACATGAAGACAACATGGAGACAACATGGAGACAACATGGAGACAACATGGAGACAACATGGAGACAACATGAAGACAACATGAAGACAACATGGAGACAACATGAAGACAACATGGAGACAACATGAAGACAACATGAAGACAACATGGAGACAACATGGAGACAACATGAAGACAACATGGAGACAACATGGAGACAACATGGAGACAACATGAGAGAAACATGAAGACAAACATGAAGACAAACATGGAGACAACATGAAGACAACATGAAGACAACATGGAGACAACATGGAGACAACATGGAGGACAACATGAAGACAACATGAAGACAACATGAAGACAACATGGAGACAACATGGAGACAACCTGGAGACAACATGGAGACAACATGAAGACAACATGAAGACAACATGAAGATAACATGGAGACAACATGGAGACAACATGAAGACAACATGAAGACAACATGGAGACAACATGGAGACAACTTGGAGACAACATGGAGACAACATGAAGACAACATGGAGACAACATGGAGACAACATGGAGACAACATGGAGACAACATGAAGACAACATGGAGACAACATGGAGACAACATGGAGACAACATGAAGACAACATGAAGACAACATGAAGACAACATGAAGACAACATGGAGACAACATGGAGACAACTTGGAGACAACATGGAGACAACATGGAGACAACATGAAGACAACATGAAGACAACATGAAGACAACATGCATGGAGACAACATGGAGACAACATGGAGACAACTTGGAGACAACTTGGAGACAACATGGAGACAACATGGAGACAACATGAAGACACACATATTAAGACACAGCAGTGAATGCAGAAGCTGTACAAAGATTATCTATTTTGACATTTCTACTGTAATAAAACTCAGAATTCTACATCTTAATTACATCTCTCACAAGGACAGAGTCCTTCATTGTAATAGTTCTTACCAAAACAGACACAAATATATAATTAAACGCCAATTATTATTACGATACCACTATATTCTGATGATCAATTTCACTTCTTTGAACACGTGTTTTATGTTAATCCTGTTGTTAATGTGTTTTTAGTGTTGATATGCTTCCTGTGTTTTTGTTACCCCTGGGCAATGCCTTGATAACCTGCTGCTGATGTTACATCAGAAATCACAATTTTAGATAAATACAGTACATAGATATATCTATTAGTCTGCATTATAACAACAGGTTTGTGAAATATTAATAGTATTTATTATCACTTACCTGCTGTGGTTTGGTCACCGGATGATCATCCTCCTCAGAAGTCACATTCACCCCATGATGCGTTTATAAGTTTCTTACTTTCACTCCTTAAAAACAGGCAACATGTCACTCAAGAATCGACAAAAACCGACAGAAAACAGCGAGCTTCTTCTGCTAAACCACGTAAAATGACAACGTTAAGTCTTCCCGTGAAAATGAAGAGAAGAGAAAACAGTCCGCTGTGTTTCGAGTTTCCTCCATCTGAAGATCGGCTCCTCTGTCTTCGCTCCGTGGAAATCTTCGGGTGTTTCCGGATAATTCCGGAAGACGATCGCTTCTCCGATCAAGAAATACCTTATTACACTAAACCAGAGGAGGGAGAAGTACTCAGATCTTGTACTTGAGTAAAAGTAGAAGTATTCAGATATTGTACTTGAGTAAAAGTAGAAGTACTCAGATCTTGTACTTGAGTTAAAGCAGAAATACTTAGATCTTAGATCAGAAATACTTTTTAATGCATGTAACATATGTAACATTAAGCTGCGGTGGCTCTTTTTTGTTGTTGCTGTAACTACGTGAATTTCCCCTCTGGGGGACTAATAAAGGTATTCTGATTCTGATTGTACTTTAGTGAAAGTAGAAGTACTCAGATCTTGTACTTGAGTAAAAGTAGAAGTACTCAGATCTTGTACTTAAGTAAAGTAGAAGTACTCAGATATTGTACTTGAGTAAAAGTAGAAGTACTCAGATCTTGTACTTGAGTAAAAGTAGAAGTACTTAGATCTTGTACTTTAGTAAAAGTAGACCTCAGGTCTTGTCCTTGAGTAAAAGTAGAAGTACTTAGATCTTGTACTTTAGTAAAAGTAGACCTCAGGTCTTGTCCTTGAGTAAAAGTAGAAGTACTTAGATCTTGTACTTTAGTAAAAGTAGACCACAGGTCTTGTCCTTGAGTAAAGTACGGCAGGAATAATCACATAGGAGGGACTCTGGGAAAAAAGAGAGTCAGATCTTGTACTTGAGTGAAAGTAGAAGTACTCAGATCTTGTACTTGAGGAAAAGTAGAAGTACCAGAGTGTATGAATACTCTGTTCCAGTAAAAGTCCTGCATTCAAAATGTTCCTCAAGTGAAAGTAGAAAAGTATTCTCATCTAAATATAGTGAAAGTAGCGACAGTAAAAGTAGTCGTTGTGCAGATTGGTTTATTTCAGAATAATATATATGATATGTTTTATAATGATTGATCATGAAAGTGTTCTCAAAGCTGGTGAAGGAGCAGCTAGTTTGAATGACTTTGTATACTGCAGGGTAGCTGGTGGATTTACTCCAGGTGGAACTAAAGTATGATTCAACACTTGATTAGATTTCACATCATTCATCCACATCTGTGAAGGAACTAAAGGTATTAAATACATGTAGTGGAGTAGAAGTACACCATTTACCTCCGAACTGTAGTGGAGTAGAAGTACACAGTAGCATTAAATGGAAGTAGTAGTACCTCAAATTTGTACTTATGTACAGAACTTGAGTAAATGTACTTTACACCTCTGCGCTAAACATGCACCAACACTGTCTTTATGGAGCCTTTGCGACGCTCAGTGGTTAATTTAGATCAGGTTTAATTATATTTCTTTATTGTAAGATCTCCATAGACAATAATAAATTGTGTTTCTTAATGGGAGTTTATTTCCTGAGCAATATACCTGCTATCTCAGGTGTGTGTTTATAACTTAATGAGTGAGCTCCTATGGTGTGATTAAATGGGCCTCAGTGTTATTATTGTTTATTTTAAAGTATAGCATTATGCCTCAACCATCTATAGAGACATGCTGTATTGCAACCAAGGGATTTCATTTCCCACTCACTAACAGCAGCTGACTTTACATTTTCCTCAGTTACTCATCAGAGAATAAACACTTTCTCTCCAACACTTGATGTTAAACAAAGTGCAGAAAAGCTTAGATTATTTTGTATTTGAGATTTTTAGAGAAAACACCTTTTTCTGAACTCGTACCTCCAGAAATGCCTTTGTCTGTTTTTTTAATTCATATTTCCTCTTTGGATGCTACATTTAATTGACTTTAATTGTGTGAAGGTGGATCCATCTAGTGGCCAACACATAGTATTACATCCTCTTTTAATTTTGAGTCACAGGGGGGGTTGGACAAAGTATTCTGATATTTCATTTGAGTTAAAGTAGTAATACCACAATGTTTAAATGACCCTATTATATTCTATTCTATAATACAATATATATAAAGTATATATTATACAGCTGATGCAGTTAATATTAACTTGTTAATTCACTGCTGGCAAGTTTAATCTATTCAAAAGGCAGCATTGTTTACAAGTTGATGAATCTTTAGTATCATTATTTAAACCTGAAAAGTAGCTTGCATCTTTTGTTATTGAATAAATGCAGAATTAAAATATGTCTCTGTGTTGGGGTAGACTGGAAAGTAAACGAGCAGAAAATGGAAAATACGTTTTATATATGTTTATTTTCATATCAAAACATACATTTGCATATTTAAACATACAATTTCAGACAACTTGTAATACAAAAAATAAGTGTCTTGATGCAAGGGATTATACAAACCTTTTCTCACATTCAGTAGACAAAAATAATAGGAATATTAATCCATAATGACATTAATGGTTAATAGCAGCCTGTGTCTGTTGATTGTGTGTATACAGGTATGTACATATTTGTATACATATTTTTATATATATATTGGTATTTTGTATTCGGGATTGTTGTCACATCCTGGCCCTGGCTGATCGCCTCACTCCCTCACCTGTGTATTTTCGCTCCCTGTTAATCACCTGCCTGGTCTCAATGAGCCTCAGCTGTCCCTAATGATCACTCCTCAACTGTGTATTTAGTCTGTGCTGTTTCCTTGGTCAGTGCCAGTTGGTCTTGTCTGTATAGCAGAAAGTGCTCCATGTTTCTCTTCTGACGTAAGCTATTGTTCTAGCTGCTTAGCATTTGTACCAACCTAGTTGGTTGTTTTTTTGTTGCTTCTCTAGTAGTTTTCCGCCAACTTAGTTGGTTGTTTTTCGTTACTTCAAGTCAGTACATTTTTTGATCATTGCCTGTTTTATTTGTACCTTTTGGATTAAACGCTTGACTAAAGACCTTATTGCCTGGTTGTGCTCTTGAGTCCTATTTTTTGCTCGTGCCTGTACTTGTGCGTGATAATTGTGGGAAACTGTATTTCGATCTCTCTGTCTGTACACACAAACTGAAAGATTGACAATAAAGTTGACTTTGATTTTGACTTGATTTAAACAGGGTCAAATCCCAGGCCTTGGTTGACTTCTTGCACTATTTGTACTTTTACATTTGTTTTATGTCTTATTATATATTATGTTGCATTGTTGGAGGAGCTTGGGACTTGAGTTTTTCATTGCCACATCTCCACTGTAGCTGTGCCTCTGACAATAAAGCTTTGAATCTTTGAATGTACAGTCTCTCTCAGTGTATCGCCGGTTTGGACGTTCTCCTCGGTCGTACTTTCATCTTCTCCTCCACTGTCCTGCATCCTTTAAAGCAGAAATGCTTCCGGATGTTTCCGCGGAACTTCTTATCTCTGAGGCCGTAGATGAGAGGGCTGAGAAGACGAGGAAGAATGTTGGTGAAGACGAAGGTGCTGAAGAAGATGTCTGTTCTCTTGTGGGGCCAATTGGAGACGAGGAAGAGGTTGATGAAGGGCGCGATGAAGGACAGCAGGCAGAGGACCAGCTGGACCCCATGGAGCAGGATGGTGTTTCGGGCGTTTCTCATCGAGGCTCGACCCACACCTGAAACCCCCCGAGCTGCGAGGAGCACGTTCAGATAGGTGAGGACCACCGTGAGGAAGACGAAGGAGAACATGAGCACCTGAGGAGGAAGAGGGGAGTACTTATTAACAGAGATGGCAAAAGTATACACGTCCTTTACGCAAGTAGAAGTACAGATACTCATGTTTAAAAATACTCAAGTAAAAGTAAAGAACTATGGGCTTTGAAATGTACTTAAGTAAAAAGTACGCATGAGGATCCTCTTGACGCTGTCAATTCGATCCAGGCTGTTTCTTCCTCATTACGGCCGACTCTTCCGGAGAGGTTCTCCGGAGACTTCATGAACTGCAGAGCCTTCCTCGTGCAGTGCGATCTGCATTTCCAACACAACCCAGGGGCTTTTTCATCAGACCATGCTAAAATGGTGTTTATCGTGTCCCATTTAACGGGAAGAGCTGCAGCCTGGGCTACTGCAGAATGGTCCAGAGACTCAGAGCTTTGCTATAGCCGACTTCATAGACACTATGAGTTGCATATTTGACCACTCGTCGCCTGCTACAGAGGCCAGCAGAAGACTTCTTCAGATGCGCCAGCACAACCGTCAGGTGGTTGATTATGCCATCGAGTTTCGCACAGTGGCAGCGGACAGCGGGTGGAATATTCCGGCTCTTCGTGACGCTTTTATGACTGGACTTTCAGATCCGATAAAGGACCAGCTGGCTCCTCTGGAGGTGCAGCGGGACCTGGAGTCTCTCATCGCTGTGTCAATCTGGATCGACAACCGACTTCGGTAAAGGGAGAGAGAGCGCCTGCGCACCGGTGACAGACATCCCAGTTTCTAGGGCTTCCCTCAGAGAAACCTTCCACCAGGAAGGACTTTCCAGCCCACGACTTCGGACCACCGGAGGACAGCGCCTCCGCTTGACTCAGACGAACCCATGCAGCTGGTCAGGACCAGGCTTTCTCTGGAGGAGAGGCAGCGCCGTCTGCGGGAGGGCTGCTGTTTCTACTGTGGCCAGCTGGATCACCAACTCGCCTCATGTACGGGAAAAGACCGAGCTTACCAGCCAAGAGGAGGGAGCTGGTAAGCAAGCTTTCCACAGACTTTTCTCCTCGTCCCGTTACCCAGGTAAACATTTTCATAAACAATCAGGCCATTGACCAAGGGGTGCTAATAGACTCAGGGGCTGACGAAGGTCTTATGGACCGGGGCATAGTCAAACAGCTAAAGATAAAAACTGTTCCGCTATCCCGCCCTATTAACGCCAGTGCCTTAAGGCCCTGACACACCAGGCCGAAATCGGCCGTTTTCGTTAGTCGGACGACGAAGCGTGCCCTGTCGCCCAAACTCAAATTTGGTGTGTCCTGTCGGCCGTGACACGCCTTATTTGGCCTTTCATGGCCGACGCACGGCCGATTCAACATGTTGACGAGAGTGAAAATGGAACGCACACGCTATTTGTTG